AACCAATGGTGCACACAAGCATGATATATGTTTTACATGCGCTAACTTATAGTTTATTTGTAAGTATTGGATTTGATCTGACGTTTAATTCTGCTTGGAAGAAGTTTCATCTCAATGTAATGTCATTCCTCTAACTAATGGTTTTATAATTTTGTCACTGCCATTTTAAGGATGGCTAATCATTCTATTCATCTATTGTGGTTGGTAAAGTGCCTTGCATTGGTCCAATAGTGTTCCAGATTTGTGCTTATCCCTTTATGTTAAAGTTAAAATTGGTGGAATGGTTAGAGGAGCATTAAGTAAGGAAAATATAACTTCAATTGCAAGTTTGAGTAGGCATATAACAAAATCATTTCTTTAATTATGGGTTTGGGTGCTGTTTGGTGTTGCTAACTTTTAGGTATCATAAACTGAATTTTCGGAATTTAAATATGATCTTGGTCATTAAGTAAATATTATACGATGAAGATATATGGAAAGAATATAAAGTTTTCTAAGGTTATGTGTCTGATAATATCCGATTGTTCTCATTTCTGCTTAGTTAGGAGGGAGAGGGAGACGCAAATTTGTTTTAGTTTAAAAATTGACAAAGTCATGACAACTTTAAATTCAGATACACTTAAACCCAAGCACTAAAGTGATATTGGACCTCTTGGAGATGAATCCTGTTATCTGTGTCCCATTCTTAACTCATACTGCTGAATCTGAAATTTTGAAGTTTTGTCTAGCCAAACACTTGGATCATGCACCTTTTTTACCCTCCCACGAATTTTTGAGAAGCTCAGAGTGTTATATTGTTGTTTGTATTTTGCAGTAGAAACATTCTAGATTAATCTCTACATGATTATGTACATGTGATGTAATCTCATGAATAATTATATAATACTTATTACTCCCATATAAGTTTTTTATTGTCATGTGAATCTGGAATATAGAGCCTATCGTAGATTATTTTAGAACAGTACTTTGAAACCATATGAGGTTAGGGGGTCTTGTCCATCCCCAGGTCCTTAAACCAGCTAGACAGTATATCAGATGCTTTATTTTCTTTACATTCTGTCATTCTGAGCTGGTCTAGTTGGCTTAATATCACCCCAAGTGGGAAAGGAAGTGGGTTTTTTAGGTTTTTTAGGTTTTTTTTTTTTTTTTGTTTAATTGACACTTAGAATGTTTTTATGCTTTTGAGGGAGGTATTATAATAACCGGCAACCATCACTTATGTAACATCTCAGAACTGATTGTTAAAGAATATCAGACCTACTTTCCTCTTCAAAGTAATTTTTAGACAGTAATAAATTCTATATTCTTTATAAATTATTTGCAGATAATATTCAATCATCAGAGAGTTCAAGAAGCCAAATGCAAAATCCCGACTACATGGAGAATCTGGCTCCTCTGTCAGGGACAATGCTAGGGTGCCAAGATCATGCCTCAAGTTCAACAGACGTATCAGAACAGAGTAAGAACATCACTCTGCATGATGGCATGACAGACTGCTCAATGCTTGTTGGGCAAGAGACTGATGCAAAGAACAAAGAAATCAATTTAGGCACAACCCTCTTGGATGATGTGGTTTCACCCATTAAACATGCAGATGAAACATCTGAGCAAGCATCAAAGTCTGAAAAGAGTCCAAATGTAGTGTCAGACATGGTGTTTACTGATGGTAATGTTCAATTGGAGGAAGATGTTAGTCAAGGGTCTAATAAGTCCGTGAGTGGACATGGTGGGACAGAGACTGATGAAAAGGGAAATCCAAGAATTAATATGGAAGGAAACTTAATGGATGCTGTAATTTCACAGAGTGAGCATGTGAACATAACACATGATACAGTATTGAAAATGGAGAAGAAAGATGAGGTAACCTCACATGTTGAGCTGGCTGATGAAATCAATCAAGGGAAGGAAGTGCCTCGGGGAGTGTTGGCTTCTAATCTTGCTGCAGGTGATTTTTCCCTAAAAGCTGAACCTACTGAGTCTTTCAGTGATTCTGTTGATACTTCTCAAATCAAGGTGGATGCAACGCAAACTACAGATTTTCTCAATTCAAATGAGGATTATGACAAAAAGGGATATAGGGAAAGTGCACATGTGCTTTCAGTGCCTGATGATATCCCTATTGTAGATCATGCTGAGATTATGCTTGAACATTTTAAAGATCATAAAGGAGTACATTTACACCAGTCTGCATCCTCAGCTTCAGGTGAAATAATCAAAGATGGGGAAAATGAAACTCAAGATTTCATTTCTGAGTCAAGAAAATTGAGAGAAAATGTTAATGTCTCTGCTACAGATGTGCATGTTTTGGAAGACAGCTGTAAACATGAAGATTGGAACAATTCTATGGTTAAAGAAGAGGTTGGTGAAGGTGTGTTTCAGGTCAATGCAGGATCAGATAAAATTTGGGGTTCTGATACAACTGAGATTGAGAAAGACCACAAAGCATGCTCTCCTGAAGAGCAGCAACTAAATGATACTTGTGACGATTTAAGACAGGGAGGTTACTCTGGGACTGTTGCTCCTGTGGATTCTGAGATCAGTCAAAAAGCCAATGTAGTTCCCACTGATGATGCTGCTGAACACGAGAAGGCTGAAACTGGAGTCTGCAATATTGCTGTTAGTGACGATGGCAGAAAAGTTGGTGGGGAGTGCAGTGTTGAAAGCATGATAAACTCTGTTGAACCTGCAAGTAATCTTTCCACATTGCATGTTAACCCTGTTTCTGGCATACTTGAAGAAGATAATGCTGAAGATCATGGAAAGGGAGAAATTGAAGATTTTGATATAAATGAAGTTGAAAGTGGGGAAAGACAGAGAGAGGAAAATCTTTCTACAAAAACAAATTCCATATCTGAATTGACCAGCAATCCTCAAGAAAACCAAGTTCTTGTGGAGGGTGTGAACGATGACTCCCTGGGGAAATTACAAGAGACAGGTCGCAAACATGCAGATGAAGTTTCAAAGATTCCTGAAGACATCAAGGAACATGAAACGTGTGGCACTGGAAAATTACAAGGTGACTGTGCCGCTGAAGTCCCACAGGATATCAAATCAGATAATGGTGGAGGACTTGACTTTCAGAAAACTTCTGAGGGCCAGACAAAGACAGAATTACCATCAGAGGGCCATACAAAGCAAGAGCCATCATGTCCTGTAGATGTTGAGCCCACCATTCAGATTTTGGCTCCTGTTGAAAACAATAATTCTGTGGAGTCTGGAAGGGCATCATCTGGTGTAGGTTCTTACTCTTTTCAAAAGGAAGCTGGTGAAAGCTTGGTTAAACATAACCTAGATGCAACTGCAGTTGATGTTTTTGTAGAATCAAGTAGTCAGACTGACAGTTTGGAAGGCAACTGGGGATCCGTCCTTTCAGGTACATTTGCATCTTTCATTTAAATGTATGCATTGCTTATCTGATATTAACTTATCTATTTAGCCTAGTTGAGAACTGTTAACCTTAACTTTACTACCTAAGTATAGCCACCCTAAACTTGATACAATGCAAGCAAGCAGACATCACTTTTCTGAAGATTCAGTTTGTTTTCTTGTTTTTATGCATGGAACAGTGCTTTCAACTGCATCAGATATCCCAACTGGCGTAGACACTGATGTTTTACCATCAACTGATTCTCAACCATCTACACAAGCAGAGAAAGCTAATGCAAACAAACCAAAACGTGCATCTGAGGGACAACATTCTGATCAACCAGATGTATTTGAGCCACCTTCTTTCATGACATTGGTTGAACCTGGAGCTAGTGGTCAAACTGCAGCTGCTTCTGAAGTCCAAGCAGGAAACAATCCAGAACGTCATGAAGCTTCAGCTATGCAAGCTGGCTGGTTTCCTTCTCTTACTCAGGTGTCAAATGAGTCTCCAGGAAGGAAGAAGAACGAAGAGATTATAGCAAAGGTAACAAATTGGAACATGAAGCAGCACACTCCCCTGAAGAATCTTTTGAGTGAGGCCAATGTTGAAAACAAGCCCAACTCACCGAACCCAAAGGATAATCCAGCCACTGTGATTCAAAGAGATGAAAAGGTGGAAAAAGATAATGAAACCTCTCACATGAAAGTGAGCTCAATTCTGGGTCATGAAGCACCAGTAGGCGAGGCTGCCATGACAGAAGCAGCAAAGGAATGGAATTCTCCAGCAAGGTATCCAGCCGACATCAAGAGAGAGAAGAGGAAAGTCAAGGCGAGACCGTACTGGGTACAATTCGTATGCTGTTCATCTGTCAATTAGGATGCTGCTCCCCTCTTCCCCTCCCCTCCCCTCAGCAATCTTCTCACTCCTTGCATAGTTGACTTCCGATCATTGAATTTTACTGGGTGATACCGCGCCATTAGGTGTACTTAAAATGGATTTTAGAGGCGTTTATGTAGCACAGTTTTAGTAATGCAGTATCATGGTCTGCCATTCTGCCCTTTTCCATTAAGGTAATCAGAGCAGGTTAGAGGAAGAATGCCACCTAGGATGAGAGGGTATCACCAGTTGTGTCCTTGTTTCTAAATAATAGTAGTCTTAACATTCGGTAAAGTTTATCTTTATTTTTTGCTTTTGCTTAATTTCTTCTGCAGAAAGTGGAAATTAGGATATTTTAACATTTTAAAATTTCATAATTTCAATAGTTTATGTTTTTAGGTCAATTAGGTCAGATTATATATAATAAATGGGTAGTTCAGACAGTAAAATGAATAAAATATTATTAATAAATCAATATATGAAAGAATTTTATAAAGATATTTTAATAAAATTAAAGCTTAAATTGCACTTTTACTGTATAATCTAACCTGAAAAATAGTTCTCTCTTTTCTCTTTTTTTTTTTCTTTTTTTTTTTTTTCAATAAACATCAAAGGCAGCAGGCTAACAGGGGACTGAAAGGAGTTCATCGAAATGATAATTAATATAGTGATTCCTAATTTTTAAGACTGAAACTTTTTTCAAAAGAGTAATTGATAAGTAGAAATTGATCAACTGTACGTATAGATGCAGATTTTAATTCACAATAATTAGTTATTTCGAGCACTAACTAAACTAGTGATTGGGATTAAGAGAGAAAATACAATGAGACAACAAAAAATAGAGAAATCTATCACTTCATACTCAAATTGATCATTTTCCTAACCAACATTACCTGTCATTCTGGCTTCCACCCCTGCTTATGCTCTAAGTTTGCATGTATACTAGTGCATATGAAAGCAAAGTACATAAATTATCGCAGTGAGTTAAAAAAAAAAAAAACATAAGAAATTGATAGTGCAAAAATGAAGTTCTACACCAATAGATCAACGCTTCACCCATTGGAAGCTCTTTCTTGCTTTTGCCTTTCCTGGTTTTTTCCGTTCCACCACACGGGGATCCCTTGTCAAGAAACCACCTGATATCCACCAGCATTTCAGTTATATGGTCATAAAATGTACACAATGAATACCATGAAAATTTTGACAGTGCCAGAACCTAAATGAGAACAAGAGAGGGGAGCTATTGCTATTTGCCACATACATTCACAGTAAGTTTCCTCTATAGGGGGATAACATGCCAATTATAGAATGTTAAGGCGGTAAATACAGATAGAGGGAAAGACATAGCAGTACCAGCTCTGAGAGGAGAACGCAAGTCAGGTTCCCAGTTTTGCAATGCCCTGCTGATGCCTAATTGAATTGCTCCAACTTGACCTGTCATAGAACAGAAAACAAGGTTATTGATCACGGAAGCAACTATTAAATGAGGATAAAAAAAATAAAAGGTAACAGGGTCCTCCAGCATGGTGGTTCCCACTTTAGATGTAGTAGCACAAAATGGGTTTGAACACATGAGACATCCATGGAACTTGCTGTTTAGGTTTAGGCAATTAAGGAGAAGGTTAAACCCATTGTGTATAGCCCAATCATTAAGAAAAAAAAAAAAAGAAAGAAAAAGAAACAGAGAGATGAAGAAAATGTCCAGCGAGATAATAACTAATATGTTCACATGCTAAATAGCTCTTCGCAAAGCTTTCCCCAATATCTACTTAAATGCTTTACTTTCTCTTTTCTTCTCCTTCTCCCCCATTTTTTTTTTTTTTATCATCAGCATGCTGGATGTATTTGATTTTCATGGAAATGAGTAGTTAAATACTAGTGATAATTGACATCTTTATACAATGTGAAAGGACACGACATGAAGCACTAGCACTAAATTTATTTATAAATGTCCTAGAGGCAGATTTAAGCTTACCTGACACTCCACCTCCTTTAACAGTACAATGGATGTCCCAAAGGCCAAGGGTTTTGGTCTCTGAGAAGGGCCGAAGAAGAGCAGCACGGTGATCAAGCATTGGGAAATAGACATCAAATTGCTTGTCATTAATGATGAATTTCCCATCCCCAGGTTGAATCCAGACACGGGCTATACTACATTTTCTTTTTCCTGTTCCATAAGCTCTTCCTTTATCATCTACTTGCCTCACTCTTGCTTTGGCAGCTTCTTCCTGTTTCAGGAGTTCTATTTCAGCCCTTGTGGATTTTCTTGTATTCTTTTCATAGCGCATGTCTTCTATTTCACGGAGAGGGGGCAAGCCATCAACCCCCTCTAAGTCTCTCAATGCAATCAAACTGTCCAGCATTGCATCCGTTATACCAGATGCTGTAATAAGGTCACCAAATGCACGATTTGGACCTGCAATAAGACTTGTCTAATCAACAAAAAGTACAAACACGACCCATAAAGATAAATTAAGTGGTACCAATCACCTTGACACATGCGCATTGCAGAAATGTTCATTGAGAGATAATAAATGTCAAGTAAAAATTGGAGGCATCCATAATTCCATATATCAGACTTCTAAAAATTTTTAATATCGATTTCATTAACAGGCCAGAGAACATGGATCAGACTAAAGAGTATCCATTTACTTCTAATGAAAACTATAAAGCTGAGCCAATATTCCAGATAAGAATGAGAGAACCAGAGGTGAATATAACACAGGGAATCTGCAAACCCTATTGCCATTAATAACTAAAATCAAATCTAAAATCTTATGAATCACATGGCCAGGAAATGCAAACTTCATACTCCAAAAAGGATGGCTAGAACGAGCTACCAATTTACGACTTTGCCACTTAGATGGCAGGCAGATTAGAAATTGCTTAAATCTATAAACTAAAGGAACCTCAATTCCTATCTCTAATTACAAATTTACAATGACAAGCAGATCGTTAGGTTCATCAGGTTGCATGAAAATGTAATAAATATAAGGGACAGTAAGCTTGCCCTTGACTGTAGCAGTGAGCTGTTTCTCCTCTTTCTCAAGTTTCATCTGCTTCTCAGCCTCACTCTCCTCATCAGTAATCTCAGCCTTAGCTATACCAACATCTTTTTCAACCTCTCCGAAATTGAAGATATCCTTCTCCTCTTCCCCAAGGCTCCATGGCTTGTCCCCCTCTGCAGTCAACAAATCCCTTTCACCACTCTTCTCTCCACCCTCCTCAATTCCCTTAAACACATCACCTTCATCCCCACCTCTGGCGTTCACCCATGATTCTTCCTTGACGGTAGACTCAATTCCATCAAACACATTGCCTTCATCACCTACCGTGTCATTCACCCACGAGTCTTCCCTGCTGGTGGAAGAGTCCGTTTCAGTGATCCCAGAAAGGTTGGCAGAATCTTCTGAGAAGAGTGAATCAAACTTTTCCTCACCTTCCTGGGAAAGCTTCCAGATATTGGGAAATGATGGATCTTTGCCATTATTGTTGTTGTGATTGGATGAAAGGTATCTCAAGAGGGAAGGGAAGTGAGGACTTTGAGTAGAACGGGGAAAAGCTTGGGTTGTCGAAGAAATCAGAGTTAGGAGACGGAAATGAGAAGGTTTAGGAAGCAGGCGACCGAGCATTTTGAAGAGCAGGAAAATTGTTATGGTTTTGAGTTAGGAAGATTGATCTTTGGATGGATGAATGTTAGATTTGATCTTTATGCTTCATAACCTTAATGTTTACGGCGACAACGAAGGAGGGACCGGAATCCGGCAGCGGCGACGGTGGGTGAGGAAAATAGACAGGCAAGAGAGAGGAAGGGTTTTTTTCCTGAAAAAGGGTTTAAGAGCAGGGAAATCGGAAAAGCAGGCTTATTAAAACGACGACGTTTTTTAAACCCCTTTTCCGCGTCTCCCCCATCTTTGATTTATGCAATGTCTTTATTGTTTCCACTTTTGTGTTCCCTTAGAAACTGAAACAAGAGTTAGGGGAGGACGGAGAAAGATTAGAGATGGAGAATGCGGCGACACTGAATATTCATCGCTCAATTGCTTTGACATGGAAATCCCGCAAAGACATCATCTTCTTCAAACCCTTATTAAACCCAAAACCCAAACCCTTCACTAGCTTCCCAACACTAATCGCCCTGTCTTCTCTTGGTTCATCGTCACCGGCACCGTCACACCAAACCTCTTCCTCAATGCACACGACGCTTCTTGTTGAGGCCTACCATAATCATTGCAGGCTCAAAGCCTTGCTTCATAAGCTCGAAGAGGAGAACGCTTGCCCTTTGCTGTTGCTCCGAGATGATGGGGATTGGACCAAGGACCAGTTCTGGGCCGTCATCAAATTCCTCAGATATTCTTCAAGGTGCAAAGAAATTCTTCAGGTACATTCCTGTTTCCTCTCTTTCTCATTGTTTAACTCTCATACCGCAAATTTAAGCACCAAATTTTTCATAACGCCTGTTGTGCCCTTCAAAAGTTTAAACCCTAGGGATTTGTTTGACAGGTATTTGATATGTGGAAGAACATTGAGAAAGCACGAATCAATGAACTGAATTACGAAAAGATAATAAGGTTGTTGGTTGAAGAGGATATGATGGAAGAAGCCGTCAGGGCACTTAGAGAAATGGAGTTTCATTGTCTTAAACCTTGTTTAGAGGTTTATAATTTAATTATTCATGGTTATGCAAGAAATGGGAAGTTTGATGATGCTTTGTTTTTCCTTAATGAGATGAAAGAAATTCATTTGGCTCCTGAAACCTGCACCTATGATGGACTTATTGAAGCCTATGGAAAATATAAGATGTATGATGAAATTGGTTTGTGTTTGAAGAAGATGGAAATGGATGGCTGCTTGCCTGACCATTGGACGTACAATTTGCTTATCCGTGAATTTTCACGCGGTGGGTTGCTCAAGAGAATGGAGAAAGTTTATCGGACTATGCTTTTGAGAAGGATGAATTTCCAGCCTTCTAGTTTGGTTGCTATGCTTGAGGCATATGCAAACTTTGGGATTCTAGATAAGATGGAGAAGGTTTATCGAAAAGTTTTGGCCTTTAGAGAATTGAAAGAGGATTTGGTCAGGAAAGTGGCTAGTGTTTATATTGGACACCATATGTTTTCAAGATTGGATGATTTGGGACTTGATCTTTATTCAAGAGAAGGTAGTAATGACACTGTGTGGTGCCTGCGCCTCCTTTCTCATGCTTGTCTCTTAAGTCGAAAAGGAATGGATTCCATTGTTCAACAGATGGAGAAAGCAGATGTTCCTTGGAATGTGACAATTGCAAATATTATCTTGCTGGCTTATTTGAAGATGAAAGATTTCAACAACTTGAGAAGCTTATTTTATAGCTTATCAACCCATCATGTGAAGCCTGATATTATCACCATTGGAATTCTATTTGATGCAAACAGGGTTGGATTTGATGGAGCTGGAATTTTAGAAACATGGAGAAAAATGGGCCTTCTTTATAGAGATGCAGAAATGAACACTGATCCACTGGTTCTCACTGCATTTGGAAAGGGGCATTTTCTTAGAGGTTGTGAAGATGCATATATTTCCCTTGGACCTGATGCTAGAGAAAAGAAAAGGTGGACATATCACTGCATTATTGATTTAGTTATTAAAGAAAACAGCAAGCAGCCTATGTAAATGCTACATATTTTGAATCCCAAGAATCACTAGTTCATCCCACTGAGCTGGTAGTAGGGTGTGGTGGGTGCTTGGGAAGCTGCAGAGGTGAAGTCAGCATAAGCTAACCTAAGAAGTATAACATCAAGGGAACATACATGAGGTAAGTTCTTTCTTTGGTGACAGATTCTAATTGCTTTAGCATTTTTATTGTCACTGTTTTTATGTTTAAATTAGTTTAGGTGCCTTCAACTTACCAGAAATAATGTTTGTTTTAGATATTTACTTATTGCAATTTAACATTTTGGCAACTAACTTGGTTCATGTCTGCCTTTTATGCGAAGGCAGTTCGTTGGTTGCCCAGCATCAAATTGCACTCGTGAAAGTTCTCTGTTTGTTATGGTGGGAATTCAAACAGTTTGATCATTATTTGGATCTTGCCTGTATGTCAACTTCCACGGAGCTCGTGGTGAACTTTCTGTCAAAAGTGGTAATCACATGCTGGCTTTGACAATATGCAACCGAGAATATTTCAATTTTCAAGATCAAATGGATGAAATAATCACCTGAAGAGCATCAATTCTATGCGAGAAAAGTTCAGCTACTATCCTCTGCTGTTAAATCCCGAAGAAACATTTCTATTTCGGCAGACAGTCTTTTCTGTTCATTGTGTAGTCCCCCAAATTTGATATCTAGACATGACTCAGACATCATCAAGTGAATGAGATACTTCCAAACTTTTCCCTTATCATCTGATGCAGAAACCTTCTCCATATCTTCGTCCATAAGATTTTCTTGACTGTTGTTATACATGTGTTTTCTACATGCCTGTAATACGAAGGGGAAGATATAAATATAAACAATAGGTTGTTATCTCGCTGTATCCCCATGAATCATTTGCAGTGTTCTTTTCAAATGTAAGAGACGAGCCATCGGAATAAAAAAACAAAAGCAAGTATTTGACAATATAATTATTGTTCTTATTTATCTGTTCCATTTTCTTCCTTCTTGCTATAGTTTTCAGTGTTACCTGGAGAATGAGGTTTAATCTAGCAATATGGTCGGCCTTCAAGAATTTAGAGTTGAGCAGTGCCCGAAATAAGAGTACCACCTCGGGGCTCACATTTGTCACTTGAAGGTTTTCAATTATGCCAGATATGCAGGGATCATCAAACACCGCTCTCATCCACCCAGGAATTTTCTGAAGCTTTAGCAATGCAACAGTTACATGAACAGCTGGCTTGAGATGATTAAAGAAAGATTTTGATGCTAAACACGGAACTGCCAGACACATGGCCATCTCTTCCACAATTACCCTGAACCAATTATTCTTGAAACTAACTTTGGCCTCCTGTATCTCTTCCCATCCTAAGATGACTGATAGACACAGGCCACAATTCATAGCTACTCTGATGTCCCTGTAAAAAATCAGGCCTTCTAGAACAGCCATAATGGACAACAGGTAACTCATGGTGCATTTTAATTCCTCATGTTTTCCAGTTCTCTGATCTGATATTCGGGTAAGAGTCTCCAACAGGCAATATGATGCAACAAGCTTGACCGAGGGAGAGCCAAAATGCATCAGTCTGCACAAGTCATGGCATTGGATGTTGATTATAGAAAATGGTTCCATCGCGTCTGATGGACCACACAAAGTTTGCCAGTTCACAGCCTCCGGTAGAACAGCATTTAAACTGTGGCAACTGAGAGTTAGCTTTCTCAACATGGATGTACACAAGTATATTCAGTAGGAGGTACTTACCATCTTAAAGAAAAGTAGCATAACATAAGCAAAAGTATCAGATTTTCTCCAAGGCTTGTTCCCTCATCATATTCAATCAAACCAGGTCCCTTTGAACAAGCTTCCTGTACTGTTCTATTGATTGTAGTGATCAAGGGAGTATTAAAAACAACGCTTTTTGACGCCTCTGTGAGTGCTTCGTTGGTGGAGTAGTATAATATTAAGGAGAGAATCCCCAATACAAGTAGACCTTCATGATTCTGTCCGAGTTTACTTTCTGCAGGGATTAAGCTGTCCATCAACTACAAAGAAGGTAAAGGATCCATTAACTTCCGGAGAATGCTGGTATTTTCTTATAATGAAATTGTGGGAATTCATAAATAGGTAGAATCTAAGAGAGTACCTTCATAGGCACTGCAACCCAGGATTCATTATCAGTGATTGCTTTGGATTGAACTGAACTTAGAATATTAAATATCAGAAGCAAGATATCAACATATAACTCTCGTGAAGAAGAATGGATTGAATTGTGAAGAACAGTCTGGATGGCATTGCTTATGCCATGCAAACATAGTTGGTCTGAGACAGCTGGAAAGATCTCAATGGCTGCTGACATCAGATTTACTACTGCTACGATGTCATGCTCTTCGCATCCTTCTATAAGTTTTACCATTAAACATACCAAAAGTTTTGCTCCATAGTTATCTCCTGATGCCACCAACTCTGCAATCACTTCTGCATTTATATAGGAACTATGTCCCCCATAGATAGTGATTTGATTGTCACTAGTGCAATTTTTTCTGCAGATTTCTAGAAGCTGGGAAGACAATGGCTCGCTGATTTTGTCTTGTTGAAACAACCATTTCAGTGATACCGAGTGAATCATGGCAGAAGACAAATCCCATTCATTCTCAGTCAGTACATGGAACAGAATCCTCTCAGCTTCAGGACTATACGGGATTTGGTAGTTTATCTTTGCAAGACCCCTAGACAGGCCATATATATTCACTAATTCCATAATTTTTTTTGAATCAATCCCCCCAGATAGGAGTTCCCCACTGTTGACAATAATATACTGCTCCACGGAAGCTAGAAGTGACTTCTCATCTGCAAGCCTATGGAAAATGTCAAGAAGGAATTTTGATTAAACTACAAAAATGCTAGTACACAATATAAATGTGATATAGGATCAGGAGCACAGCTACCTGTCATCGTATAAACAACTTAAATGTAAAATCAGCAAAACGGCTGATTGGCAAGAAGACAGATCTAAACTATCTGAACTCTTCTGCCCAAGCAGAAAAAGCAAGTCGGTGGGATCAGATGGAAGAAATGAAGCTGCGTCTCTAATGGGTTGTCCAGATTCGTTTCCCATAAGCACATCCACAAGTGAACTAAGCATTAGATATACCCTCCATTTCAGCTTTTCTGTGGGAAATAGTCCTAGACATCCAAATGACAAACTGAACCAAGAGGAAGAAATTAGGACTTTAGCAAGTTTTGTTGTGGGGATATCAGAACTACCAAGCAGTATAGAATGAAGAGTTTCCAGAACACCCAGGACAATTTCTTCATTTATTTCATTTATTGACCTTGCAAACCAAGGTAATAAGTGTGATGTACATACATCCACGATACAAGTTCTCAGTTCCATGTGACTGTCCTCACTGGTTGAGAAATCTAAATAACTGAACTCATATGCTTCTTTAAGCAGGTATAAGGAGTACAAAAGTTGACCCGGATCTTTCTCAAAGATACTTAGAGAGGCCAAAATGGCATGTCTTGATGCCTCTTGAATTAACGTTGGTATATTTGAAGTCCATTGTGAAGATGGAGATTTCAAAAGAGCTACAAATATTGAGCAGGCCATTATGAATGTCTCGGAAAGCATGCCCATTTTGCCATCGATATGCCTTTTAAGCATTTTTGTCACAAAAACTACTAATTCCTCAGTGTGAGAGGCTGATACTATTCCAGGGCAATCAGAGATAGAGTTCCATATGAGCTTCAGTGTATGACTTTGAACAGGATGGAAAGGAACTTCAGCTACATAGCGCAGCACTTGAAGCAAAGTAGTAAAGCCAACAACAAGCCTTTTTATGAAGGATTTCCCAGCAGAGGAGAAGAGATTGAGAACCTTAAGGCAAGAGATGACCAGTGTATCTTTACATTCTGTTCAGCCACAATAAAAGTTGATTAGACAAAAATTAGAATTGCAGAATAATTAGGAGGGCAATTATGTGTATCTGTGTGAGTGAGGACCTACTAGATTGCATGCATCAACTCATTAGACAATATCAGAGATTGAAGATAATAGTCATAATAATATCTTAGTTTTCTAAGAACAAAACCAAATAATAAGAAAATTAAGGAAACTAAGACACAGTCAGCAGAGAGTGCGTCGGAGACTAAAGAATCAGTCTTATTTTATTAACAAAGTCCTTACTAAGTTGCATAAGACATAGTCAGCACAGAGTGCGTCGGAGACTAAAGAATCAGTCTTATTTTATTAACATAGTCCTTGCTAAGCTGCCTCTTTGATTTGTGGCACACTGACTGAGGGAACGCAAGTACTGATTCAGGTTTTACATGGGTTACTGATTAGCGTTACTTTGGCAACTTTAGTTATAGATCTTGTCTTTCTAGTTCCCACTCATGCACATGCAGAATGATTTTGCTCACCTGACAGTCTTAGTATTTCAAGTATATAATCCACTATATTTTCTTCCACCAAAACTTGGATCTGTTTTCCCAAAGCATTTTCCCCCGATAAATACTGAAATATTAGATCCAGCGTGCTGATCTGGACTTGGCTGTCCGATGAAAGCAGTGGCCCTTTGATGGCCTCAGCAAACAAGGATTCTGGAGGGGTTTCATCCAATCCATCTGCTGTGGTTTGCATGAAGCTATCTGCTTCATCAGAGTTCATACTGCTGATGCCATTTCCATGTGCGTTTCCCAAAAATCCTTTTTGGGCCAAAATAGTCAAAAGTGCTACAAAAGTATGAACTGAAAATCATTAGTTTGAGTGGATGAATATGATGATAAACCATGAAGATAATAACAAGAAAGTGCAGCAGGGTCTACAAATTGCTTTTGCTTGATGTCAACTACATTCACCCAAGTAACAGCAACAAGACTGACACGAAAGCAAGTTTATGACTGACTGTGGTTCTATCTTGCTACCAGTGGACTAGACTTCACACAAGAAAACAGTATCACTACAAATAAAGACGAGTAATGTAAAATAGAAATTGACAAACCTACACAGTTCAACCGTACGTCGTCCCTTTGAGTCTTCATGAGCGCTTCCAGTGACAGACGCAACAAATCAGGGCAAAAGGAGTGCAGGACATCTGCTTCATCACTGACTCTTGATGCATATTGGTAGAACGATAACTTATACAGAATGAAAAGAATCTCCCCACGGATTTCCTCACCGTAGTACAAAACAAAACGAAGCAAAAAAATTTAGCTTACGATGCACATATGCGATGCATGGAAAAGGCAAATTCCCATTCCAAATTTTGCTTTGTCTCTCACCTAGGTAATTGAAGACCTGCTACCAGATTGGATACTAGGGCACCCTTGTCTTTGATGTAGGCAGAGGGATCGGTGGTTTGACAGTTCAAGAGAACCCCAAAGCAATGAAGCTGCAATTTACAAGTGTGTTAAGTTCTGATTCTGAGCGAGAAAGTAATGCGGCAAGGCTAATATGAGTTTCTAAATCCCTAATTCAGTAGAGAAGTAACAACAATCCAATTGTAAATTGTCGAATTTTCTCAGAATCCAAACAGAGCAGAAAAGAAAAGAAACAGTACCATATGGAGCTGCCGCCTGCTCCAAGCCAAAACACCGGACGAGAGCGTATCGGCAACTCGAGCAACAAAGTCGGCTGTAACGGAGCCACCAGCAGAAGTGCAAAGTGCAGAGATTATATGGACTAATTGGTAGGCGATAGGATCATCCTCGAAGGATGAGAGAGCGCGTACGAGAGAGGAGACGAGGAAGTGAGGATGAAAGGAGAGGAGAGAACGGAGAAATTGGGGCTGGGAGAGGGCGTGGGAGAGCTGAGAGAGGGCGTAAGAGACGTGAACGGTGGGTGACCGTGGGTCGGAGATGAGGTTGGAGAGGCAGAGCAAGCAGATTGAGCCTCCTTCCTGGGTGTAAAGAGAGAGCGAGGCTCTGTGGCCCTGCGAGCATGGCTGTTCTGGATCAGGCGATTCTTCCAGCTCCAGATCGAGATCAAGATCAGGTTCCTGCGATTCTCCGCACAGCATTGCGAAAGCAAACAGAGATGGATACCAGTTTGTGGGATTTTGAATTTGAGCGGGAGTGAATGGGGATGCTTGTATTTATACGTCCGTTTCTTCAACTTGAAAATTTGCGATTGCCCGTAGTTTTCTTATTGTGAGACTTTGTTATAATTTTCAATAAATATATATATATATATATATTTATTTATTTATATATTTATACATTGCCCCTCTTTGCTAGTGATTGGGTGGGTTTTTCTTCCTCTTTTTTTATTTCTAGATTTTAAATTTTATTTCTCATTTTTAAAATAATTATTTCTCCCTTCAATTTTAATTATTTTAATTTAACTTATAAAATTTATTAACTATTTTAAGGTATTTAATATAATTAATACATAAAGATGTGCATTTAAAAGTTTGTCTAACTTGTATCCAAGTTAAAACTCATTAATTAAAATATCTTTAATTAATTTTATATAAGTTTTTATATTAAATTTATAACTTTTTACAAATTTTGAGGTGACATTATATTATATTTTATTTTTACATTTTATATTATTTGTATTTGAATCTTGTATAAAAATTTATATAAAATTAATTATAGATATTATAGTAAATAAAGCAATTCAATGCATTTAAATTATCAAAAAGGTTCTAATCATTCGTGTGGTGTAAGTGGTCACGTTTTTCTTTAAAAAGTAAAGTAATTCTTTTTAAGAAGTAAAGTGATAATATCTTTGATAATGTGAAGTTTGAATTTTAAGTTTGACACTCTTCATCTTCTAAGAACAAATACTAATATTATAAATATAATTACCACTTTAAAAAATAAAATAAGATGAAGGAATTAATCTCTAAATAAAAACCAATACCTCAACCATCTATACCAAAACGGTAATTCATGACACTGATATTATTATTAATATATCAACTTTTATAATTTGTATATAAAATAAAATAAAAATATATTAATTATACCAAAAACTTGTGTCCTAAGACACAAGTTATAAGACACAAATTAGAAAATACAATCGGCTGTCATAATCTTCAAATCCTAATTTGATTGAGGAAATGATTTTGTTGTTTGCATATTTTAAAACAAACATTATTTGTGAGCCGATTAAAATCAGTGCTGAATTTATTTACAAACATTTGAAAACAAATCCAAATGCCTCGGTTACTTGGATGTATGTATTGTTCATTTTCAAGGGTACAACAAATGAGTCCACATGGATTTGAAGTGTCAAACTAGTGTCAAACTAGTGTCAAATGCAAGGGTTCGTTAAGGTGAATGAAGAATCCAAGCAAAACCGAGACCAAAATAAAAAATGGTGTTACAAAGCACCAAAATTCAGCACATGTTACGTTTGTCCCCAGATTTTTCAAAATAAAAACATGAGGCAAAACTTTATTTCACCAATTATCAGCATTCTCCCCCTGAAATTTTTGCTGGAGTTGAAAGGAGAGTATGGAAGAATTAGACAACAAAAAATATGAAAATTATAAAGCTAAGACACAAAGTCAGTATAAATATGAGGGGTGAACAAAACAAAATCAAACTACCCTTGTCCAAGTTTCTCAATCTAGAGCCCTGTCCCCAACCGGTATAACATTTTGCTTAAAAATCAGATACACAAACCACATACCTGTGACCCTAATGGATACAAAATGCGGTGACGGGCAAACTGTCCTAAAATATTTTCAGATTCACCCTGCAATCAGCAGGGATCTTCAAACTTGAATTCCCATCAAAATCTTCCTTTCCTTGCAACTCAACCCACCTTTGTGTGCCTTATTCTTCAAGGAAGCAAAATACTTCCCCTCAACCCTAAAGAATGATTGATACATAATATCCTTATTTTTCCAGTAATGTGTGGGTTGACCTCTCATAAAATCCATGGAAAGAAAGGAAAAGAAGTAAATTGAATTGGAACCAGAGGATGCAAGGCAGGATAATTTAACTCCAACTTGGGGAATTTCCCTATCAAAAGACCGAGTCTTTCTACAACTTTCTGCTATCAAGATTGCACAGCCAACCTCTGAAGATGTTCAAAGAATACTTGCAGGCTAACATCATCTGTGAAGATCACATCTGACCCAGCAGCAATATCGTTGGTATTATTGTACGTTGCTGATGGATTTAGCTTTGCCAACAAAAATCTTGCCTGCTCAGCAAGTTACAATTAAACAAATAAGTTAAATCAAAGAATATACTACAGTAAATCAAATTCTAGTGTATGCTTCTTAGCTTCCAGTATAAAGAAAAAATAGACTTTTCAAAATTAGTTGAAAAATAAAGAATAGCAGACACCGATTTAGGTCAGCTAACACTAGGAATATTGACTGAGCTTAGAGAAATGCACAAGAACAAGTGACTATTGCAGCAACAGAAAAGGCACAACCCCCTTTGGCAGTTTAGTGTGAGCAACTCAAGAAATCATAGGCTATAACTTATAATGCTGACCTCAAGGCCAGACAGGTATAAACATAAATACATTAAAAAAAATACAAAGCCACAGACACACACGCAAACACAAATTCAGAGAGACATGTAGGCATAGATGCATATATCACATGTAATATGACCATTATATGAATGAGAAAAGCATAGCTTTCAGAAGCATTAAAACTATGGTTGATATTCAGATTATTACCTGTGATCCATGCTGATCACAAACAACCAATCTAGGGACAGGGAAACGATCCCGAATGATCATTTGGGCATCAACTTGAGGCCCTTGTAGTAGCTGTGCAAATGCCTACCACACAAAATAAGGATTTAGAAAACAGAAATTTATGCTATGAACATTAATTCACACCAGATGTAAAAGACGACAAAATATCCATTTGACACAAAAGCCAATATGCTAATGATCAGGTTTATTGGCTCAAGAATCAAAGGACACAAAATCGAAATAAGAAATATGATCATTTTACTGGTGTGACTAGCACCTAGAAGGCTGGAATTTGTGCTTACAATTATTTCAGAAAAATTATCAATGCAGTGCTACATCACACTAACAAAACAAGCACATACTTGGTGTTCAGGCTGATTATGGTAACCCATGTTTCGCCACTGTGCTATGGTCATTCCATGGAAGATAACAACACTAAAATATGAATCCAGTAAGAGGATCCGATCAGCTGCAATGGAAGCCACATCCAACAATGCAGGTTGGGGCAGTGAATTGAATGAATATGATATTAGAGATGGCTGAATCATAACAGCTGCATTGGTAATATTCTCCCGATTTAACAGCATGCGGAAATAGGCAGTTTCATCTGGGCTGTTGTTGAAAACCTAACACCATAAAGTGAAAACAGAAAAATGGATCATATCTACACTAAAGGTTAATTACATATTGAAATGAGGAACAGGGTAGAAATTATTTTTAAAATAAAAAGAAAACAAATATATAGTACCTGTACAAATTGGGATCGCCGCAAATTAAACAGAAACTGAGGAAACAACGAAAAACAAGGATTTAACGTAAAAGAAGTTGGGTCATCCTTCCGATACTCGCCAAATTTGGAGCAAACACGAATGAGATTCCTATCCAACCACCGTGTAGCATCAAAGCCCTCCTGATTGAAACAAAACCCACAATTATGCAGGGGATTTAACCATAAATAAGAAACTGTCAAATCAGTGATGCATTCACCAGGAGCCAACAAACCAAAAATGACAGAACAAATAGTTCGCATATAATAGAGGAGACGTAAGAAGAGATGGTTAAAAGCAGATAACTGGATAGTAAAAATTAGCATCCATGTTATATGGCAACATACAGATTTAATGCAGAATATAGATGGTAAGTCAGGTAGAAAATATTAGACAAAGTAACAGGAGAAAAGCAAGTTGCACATATCTGATAAAAGAACAGAAATTTGACCGTTGACACATCCAGAACAAAAGAATTCAGCAAAGGTTGGATGAGAATCTTCTTGAATTACCTCTGTCTCCATTTTCAAGGAAGCTAATCTAGCCATTATGACAGCGGCAGTCTCCTGATCGAAGTTTTGTATCAATTCCTGCAAAGGTTATGGTACATGATCAGCATTAAGCCCTTGTTGACTTTCTAAAGGCTTCCCAAGCAAAAACCTTAGCCCTACATATTGCCACCACCAGATCCAAACTGAATTGCTTGACAGAAGTGCAGAAATGTAACTCGCATCTTTCCTACTAATTTATTTCCATGGGAGAGCAAATGTCAGCCATATGAAGAATAATCCTTCAAAACATGGCCTCACCAGTCGTAATGAAAAATTACCTCAAAGGGCAACTAAGAGATACAGATAGATAAATTATACAGAAGCCAGAGATAAAGAGAGCAGCACTGATTGTTTTCATGACTATAGTGACAAAATCAGGGGAAAAAAAAGACAGGCCAGAAAAACAGATAAGTGACAAGAAGTTATATCTTGTTTCATAGAAAATTAAATAAAAGAAACAAACAAACCTCTGAGTTAACAGCACTATCTACCCATCGTCTCGTTACAGTTGTGACTCGAAGCAATGTTTTACCCTCAGGGTTTTGATAACTGCAATTAGATAATGACATCATAATCCAATTACTTAAGAAACAAAGTCAACAAAGAAGCAAAATAAATAAATAAATAAATAACTTAGGGGAAATGTTAACTCTATTGACATGCTCATGCAACAAACCTTGTAAGAAACTGCAAATACAACTGCTGATTCACTGCACCTGGTGCATTAGACTTCTCGCTGGATGAAAGATCAAAGTAAACAGTCAAACAAGTACTCTTGTCAAGGCCACACAATTTCCAAGCTGAGGTGTTCCCCTCCCCAATGACAGTGTCAGCAGCATTAGGTCCTTTCTGCAATTGTTGAGATAATTAGCAAAAATCCCATAAAAAAGTTCGGGCCAATTTAATTAAGGCCAAATATTAAAGGCAGAAAAGTACATAAATAAAAGAAACCAAGCATTATCACAAACATATTGTGTTAAAAACAGTATAAGCCAAATGGAATAACACTTTAAACTATTAAATTGCCAACCTTTTCCAAAGACGTGCAAGGTCCAATGATCCCCTGGATTTTTATGTCCTTTGAACAATTGATCTCAAGCATACCACTGGAAAGGACAAAA